ATATTTTTATATTGAAATTTTTAAAAATATTTAAAATCAAAAAATAATTAATATCAAAATTAAAAATTTTTAAAATTAAAAATTTGATATTCTATCAAATATTTAAAATCATTCTCGAATCAAATATAAAAAATAAAATATATAATAAAGAAGAAATCATAATTTTCTATTCTAATATAATTATTTTTAATATTAGATTTTTTTATAAATATACATAATTCCGAATAAAAAATCGATTTAATTATTTCATATTCAATCTCGAATATAGAATATTATATTCATACTAAAATAATAAAGATTCATCGTCAAACCTGTTTAAAATCGTTCAATTTTTTAGAATAAATGAAATCTCAAATATTTTAATCAATTATTTGAAATATCATATCAATTATATGCTTTCTGCCATTATTTTTTAATATTTTGGGTATTTTTCTAAAATCATTCTTCATCTCTTCAATATATCATGGGACTTTCTCTAAAACCATTCTTCATCTCTTTAGCATGTCATAAGAAATTTGCCATTTTCTTGATGATATTCTGAGATATCATTTTTCTAAAATCATTCATCTCTTCAATATATCATGAGATTTTCTATAAAACCATTCTTCATCTCTTTAATATATCATAAGAAATCTGCCATTTTCTTGATGTCTTAATTTCTTAATATTTTCTAACAATCTTTTTGTAGTATTATTGAATTCTAATATATTCGAAAAGTGCAGATTTATTCAATATTTCTTTGCCTTATCGAATCTTCAAAAATGGAAAATGGTATCTTGCAACAAATCAGCTTCCGGAAGATTTTAGTCCCTGGCGCCTTCATGTACGAGCACCTCGAAATGCACAACGTGCATGAAAATCCAAAAGCAAGGTTGCCTGTGACTTGATGCCGCTCGAGCCAGTGCCCGAAACAAACAGCGCTGTTTGTACCATCTTCCAGACCCCAACCTGTGAACCACCGCCAAGCTGCTTTGGGAGGAGTGGCGACAGCTTCCCCCGAAAACTCGACGAAGTCGACAAACTTGGTGTAAACCTTCTTTGGGATGGAACAGACAAAGGCAAGGCTTTGCAACTGCCACACCCGCCTCCGTGAACAAATCATGGATCATCGAGCCGGCTGTTCCTCAAGAAAGCGCGCGGGCGGATATCACAAAATCCACGCTGGCCGACGAGAAGCCTAGGATACCCACAAGCCGGAACGCTGAGGATATTTGTGCCCAAAGGCTTGGAAGTGTATTCAATGTTTGCTTGGGGAGACTTGAATAAGAACGTTCCCCAGCTTCCAAGGCTCGGTAAGACTTGACGTCCGGAGCACTGACCTCGAAGCAGCATGTCGACATGTTTCGAAAGACTCTGCAGGAACATGACTTTCGGCAGCTAAGCGCTGTGCACATAGCATCAGCGGATCCTGCGACGCACAGTGGCTACGACTCCTGAAGTGTGGGGTCCTTTTATGATGCGAACCACAAAACCGCATGCTGCGAAGACGACTACTTTGATTCCCATTTCGCCGTCCTCAGACTCGGTTCCCAGTTCAGCCTCAACGAAGCCAGATCCGCAGCCTGTTTGATCGTTTGTCACATCTTCTCTCAAGCACATCGCCGACAGTGAAAGTTCAAGCCTCAAGAATCGGCAAGTACAGAGCGCATAAACCATGGCCCACCTCGCAACCTCATCTTCGCACCACTAGCACCTGCACACAAAATGCAAAGGATCCCCCATTCGGGCTTGAGGTGTCGGGGGTGTCCTGCCTGCAATGCGTTTCATGTTACTCCCTCGGTAGCCGATCACGCGGCCAACCACGCCGAAGTTGTGCGAAGCCTGGTACGCAAGCAATTCACAAATCGCCTGACTGAGGAGGCCCTCGAATGCCGGAAAGCAGAGCCCAAGGCCTCGATGCCCACCAGAAACTGGCACTGCCAACGACCCTTCTCCTCAGATTGGTTCTGGCGAGGTTCGTGACTGCTGCATCTAAGAGGAACCTAAGTAAACAAAATACAAGCATTCTCCTCAGTAGTAGCAGGAGTAGTAGCAGTAGCAGTAGCAGCAGCAGCAGCAGTAGTGGTGGTAGTAGTAGTAGTAGGCGCCCACCCACCATCTTAAGAGCACATCCGTTTTACTCGCTATTTACATCACTTTCGTCATGTACGATCATCATAAGAAGCTTCAAAATCGACCTGCCGAGTTTGCTAACTCGGCCTCTTGATCTTGGACTTGCTTCTGGGGGCGGGGCGGGGTGGGGGGTTGGGGGGATGATGACGACAGTGCTATGCAAACACCACCAACAACATCACCACAAGAGCCGTTTTACTCGGAATTTACAGTACTGTCGTGATGTTGGTGATGAAATGTGCTTGATTTTTCGTGACGTTGGTGATGAAACGTATTTGCACCTTCGTGATGTTGGTGATGAGTTGTGTTAGCTTTTTTGTGATGTTGGTGGTGATGATGTTGATGACAATGACGAAGTGCAGTTGGTAGGGGGGGTGGCGGGTAGTAGTAGTAGTAGTAGTAGTAGTAGTAGAAGTAGTAGTAGTAGTAGTAGTAGTAGTAGTAGTAGTAGTAGTAACAGCAGCAGTAGCAGTAGCAGTAGTAGTAGGAGTAGTAGTAGTCGTCGTCGTGGTAGTAGTAGTAGTAGTGGTCGTAGTAGTCGTAGTAGTAGTAGTAGTAGTAGTAGTAGTCGTAGTAGTAGTAGTAGTAGTAGTGGTAGTCTTCTGTGGTAGTAGTGGCAGGAGAGGAGGAGCAGTAGTAGGAGTATGCTTGTTGTGGCAGCAACATCGTCGTCGTCGTAATAGTGTTAGTAGCCGAAATAGAATTGGAAGAAGCATTGGTAGCAGTCGCGATAGTTGCAATGGAGGTTCGTTACAGTTCTGTCAGTGAGTGTCCAACAGCAGTTGCTCGCAACTGCCCTCCAATTGCAAAGAAGCTTCTAGCCGCACCGGTGTGCCGTCACGCGCAAAGCTGGACCTAAGATTATCTGCAGATCGGCACCCAGCCTTGCGAACCGACACTCCCATCCTTCATTGAGCATCCAATGTGCAGCCGGTCTTCAGGGAATCGAAAGGTTCGAGTGTGTGCATGTGTCTGTGCATGCAAAAGCGATACGCCTAACCACTCCGAAAATACCTAAGGACACAAACGTTATGATCTCTTGGACTGCCACCAAAGAGCTCGTCCCAAGGCAACCATTTCAAGCTGTCCCGGCTTTCCACTTGGCTTTGAAGTGGTGCCTCCGATGTGCAATGCATGGCTGTCGATGAACAGCATGCAAAACCCACGGAAGTTTACATTCATAGCATTCAGAGCGACCAGGAGGCTTACTGAGCGCTCAAATTTTGAGGGATCAGACCCTGAGTTTGGGACCAGTGGAAATTGGTTTTTTCCCGAAAAGATCTTTTGGGGTTGGGTTCTCGTTCAGTACTCTAAGGCGAGGTGCGCGATGTCGGACCCTGCCTGGACAGAAAAGCTTTAAAAGACTAGACAATGGACGGGCTTGGACGTGGCTGCCGCTAAGCGATGGCCCCAGCTCCTTCCGCGCAGGCTCTGCGTCGTAGCCGGTTTGGGCTGGCAGGCGTCTGCCATGGCTCTGTCATTTCCCGCTTTGATCAGCAAGGCGTTGAGCGCCGCTTGAAGCCAGGGGTTGGCAAATTTTTCCTTTACTCTTTGATTGGTTGGCTGGGGTGCACCGTCAGCGTGCCCTTGCAAATAGCGGTGGTGTGGTTAAAGCTTTGCACCGTCAAGACGACACCGAGCTTGCCCTTGTGTCCCTAAAGTGTAGGATGCTTTGAGGGGCACCTGCCCACTCTCCACCAACGGCATTGGCGTTAGGCGACAGCTTCTGGACCAACCGTGCTGGCCTTCATCATCGCATGCAGCGAGAGGACCCCGTACTCGCTGCTTTTGCGGCTTGCTTTATCGCTTTATCCTTTAAAAAGCCATTTGCATGGTGCTGCTCCCGTACTGCTGATGCTCGCATGTGCACCCCACGCCAACCGCTGTGAGGACAGGTGTGCTCCCGCCGGGCGTGGTCTTGTCTGGCATCTTCACACGAGCTTTGATTTTCACTAATGAGCGTGTCATTGCTACAGACGGCTCTTCCCGTAATGGCATTGGGTGCCCAGGCGGTCCAGTTTCTGAGCCAAGAGGCTGTTGCTCAGGCCATTCCTGGGGAGGTCACATTGCAAACGCTCACTCCGCTCTGTAATTCCTGCAGCAGTCCGCTGCACCAGCGCTGTCATTCTGTGCGACTGCAAAGCTGCGTTGGACATAGTCACTGGCTCCGTAGGCCAGTCGCCGTGGTTGCAAGACACATGCACCGAGCTGTCCAAACGCTCCGTGCAATGCTCACCCGTAGTATTAGCGTAAGGTTCCATTGGGTTCCTTTTCATGATAAGCTCGTTGATGGTTGGATGCTCTCTGACGGTCGTGCGCGGATGCTCAATGTTTTAAGGCTGATGTGGCGGCGCATCAGTGCGTGCAAAGCCACTGGGTCGCTCGCAAGAAACGACATGTGCAATGGGAGCTACGATCAATGATTCGGGCTTGCGCTTTTCTTTCTCTGCCGTAGGTCGGAACCACCCGACCCCTCCGTCCAAACAGTCACCTCCTTCCGCAACAAACCCGGCAACGAAAACCTGGAACAGAAAAACGGACCTTGAGAGAAACTTAAATACACAAAACACAGGCGCGGACAACCACCCGTGTGCATAGATGCTTCGTGCAGGCTTGAGGCTTCTGTCAGGGTTGATGCGCAAATTGCATCATCGCACTCACTGACGACCCAGCACGAAACAACCATCATTGCTCTTATGCCTGCTGCCTGCTGCGCCAAAGAGGGCAAGAATCAGTTGCTTGCAACGGCTCTCGTGCTTTTCAACGGCAAGCCCTCTCTGCTACGTTCTTACTAAGCGCGAGTAGCGCATCCTTGCCGTTCTTTAACGACTCTAACCTCAGCCCTCGGCTGCAGTCTTTTCTGGCAACGAACAGAACATGGTTCCCAAGTCTCCCGGGTCAATGGGATGGGAAGGAGCCTTTCCACAAGGTTGTATCTGAGAGCTTAGGGGGCTTACGGCATCTTACGGCGATATGTTTGGAAAGGTTTGACAAGATGCAAGCCCGAAAATCCCAGTACCAAGGCACCAGGGCAGCTTCCTCCCGGACAAAGACGCCCAGGGTTTCAATGTGGTCCGTGAAAGGAAACCTGGAACCAAAGGCACTTCGGGTTCAGCCGGGTTCCAGCAGTGCAGAGCGTTTGTGAATCGGGTGCTCGCACAATCAGGCTGAAAGTGTTTTGTCGAAGGCGACCTATGAACTTCGAAGGCGCGACACAGCCATGACCATGCGAAGGATTTCTTCCGAAGACTGGAATCAGCAGTGATAGTGATGCGACCGGGTTACAAATCGTAACATCGCAAAGAAGCCAGTCGAAACGGCGGCGTGCCCTTAGTGTGAAGAGACGCGATGCAGAATTTCGTGGAAAGCCAGCAGCAACTTGTCGACAGTTGGCACGAACAGTCAGCACAAGGGCAAAGCTCATGAAGGTCGGCCCCAACACCTGGCAGGCACGATGCATGGCCTATTCTGCGGTCAAGTTGCGCCGCTTGGGTTAGTCAATCGGCGAGCATCCTTCGCTTCTGCTTGGTGCGACTGTAACAAATGCAGAAGTCTGCACCTACAGCAGCTGCTAGTACTTCTACTACTACTACTACTACTACTACTACTACCACTACTACTACCAGTGCTGCTACTGCTACTGCTACTACTACTACTACTACTACTACTACCACTACTACTACTACTACTACTACCAGT